GAGGGGGGTGGGAGAAGGTGCAGATTTCAGGGGGTCACTCTCAAGCTGGGCACTGGGCACCCTGCTGGCCTCCCCCATCCCAGCCCCACCCAGCACCACCATCCTCGGAGGGTGTTGAAGAAGATGACGGGTGACTGGCCCGAGGCGATTTTCTGCCTAAAGCCCAGAGTTAAGGATGAGCTGGACCAGGGCAGGGGGAACCCTGGCCGGGATGAGGGGTCCCCGAGACCAGCGAGACTAATTAAACGTGTTCTCTGATATACTCAGACCTGAAGGAATCGCACCCCGCTGTGCACAGGTGGATAAAGACCTGGGGTTTTTCAGGGTAGGTGCTCTTAATCAGAGCTTTAACTGAAATCATTGTAGATTCACACGCAGTTGTAGGCCTGTGAGAGCGGGAGACCCTGTGCCCTTGGCCGGTTTCCCGTTTCCCTGATGCCAACAGTTTGCAGGGCTCCAGTGTGCGCGGTGCTGACAGGGATACAATCCAGGGATACAATCGAGGGCGTGGATACAATGTATCCTCCTCCTGAGCGGCTCTGACTCGTCCCTGTGCATTGAGCTCTGCGTCTGTGTAGATCTGTACCGGCCACCAGAGCCCCAGGCCCTGGGACGCCTCAGCTGGTCCTCCTGTGGCCTCCTGGCCCCCTGCGCCCGCCCCCCAACCACTCCCCTTTACCTCCCCTGATGTTGCTACAAATACAAAGTTGGCTCCTCTATTTAGGGAAGCCCCCCCCTCCCCCAGCGCCCCCACACCTTGCTGCTTTCAGGAGAGGCCTCCTGAAAAAGGTGGAGCCCGAGCCGGTGGTCAGCCAGCCCCTCTCCCCTCGGCGCCTGGAAGGGGGGCCCACGGAGGCCGGCCGGCAGCTCCCTGGGCCAGGCAGGAGGGACGGAAGGGCCCCGGAGGCCAGCGTCTGCTTGTTGGCTGATGGTGCAACACTCCCCACGGCCCTGCACACCATCGTGGGCCGGCTGGGCGGCCGGTGTCCAGAGGCCAGAGCCAGGGCAGAATCCCCTATGGCCAAGCAGGGGCGTCCTGGGAGGGAGCCGGCCCCGCGGAGAGGGTGTGCAGGCAGGGTGAGCTCTCCACTGTCCATGCCCGGGGCCTGCTGGCCATGTAAACCGTCCCCACGAGGGTGTCATCGGCCAGCACTGGGAAGCCCCTATGGGATCCCTTCTGCCCATTGAGGGGCACAACCCAGGGCAGCCGGACACAGCCCTGCAGACTCCTGCTTGGAGGAGGAAGGGGGAGGTAGCCCAAGTCCCACAGACGGGCTTTCCCTCTCCCTTCTTTTTGGGGTCCCCAAGTGGAGGACAGCCTTGCCCCCCCCACCCAAAGGGCTGCAGGAGGCAGGGGGCTGGCTGAGGCCACATGGATGTATTTTCAGGGCTCCATCGCCTCCCCTCGCACCCTCCTCACAGATCTCGGGCACACTTAACACACACGCAGCACCCACACTCTCACGCGCTCTGTCTCTTGGGCCCAACCCAAACGGGCCAGCTGGCTTAGTGGTTCTGAAAACGCCACCAGACAGCAAAGGGGAAGCAGGCACTGACTCTGAGAAATTCCTTCCCGGTCCCCAGCCCAGGAGCAAGGCTTAAGTCCGCCTGGTTCCCCAGGAGCCAGCCGCTGGAGCTGCAGCCTCAGGGAAGGAGCCAGTGGTCTCTCTACCGGTTCTAACCACCCTCCCGGAGGGACACTGCTCACTCGGCCGCCAGCCTCGTAGGGACAGTGCAGGAGGGACACCCTGCGCTGGCTCCTGGAGCCCAGCTGTCCCTACTCGGGGCCCCTCCCTCCAGACCCCGATGTATGGATGGGGCTCTCTAGGAGGTGGTGGGGCGCCCGCTGGTCAGGGCTGATTAACATGCGCANAGAAGGCTCCCACTCTGAGGCTGGAAAAGACCCAGCCCTAAACTAAGGGCCTAGGGACTCGGGGGCAGGATAGGGGCTGAGAACTCGTTGGCTTCCAGCCCACTGGGTCCCCAACTGGGGAGCAGCTGGGTGTTTCCACTTCCCTGACCCGTGTTAGGAAACCAGATGACCACAGCACGTGCCCTGAAGGGTACGCGACAGGCCTCCACACCGGGCTCTGGCATCTAATTCACCAGGAGCACAGTGGTCGGGCCGGGCCCTGGCGCTGGCAGCCCGTGCCCCGTGGCCCATCGAGTGGCCGTGGCTCAGGATCGCCTGCTGGCTGCCAGACTCCAGCC